AACGATTCAGCTTGAAATGCCGGCCTCGGTGATGCATCGGCTGATGAGATGTTCATAAATTCTCGTGTCCGGCCGACTCGGTGATATCCATGAACCATGACTACCATGTGGGTCTCGCCAGCTGACCCTGGTAACCAGAGTTGAGGGCCCTCGGCCGACCACCAACCCAGGCGAATTCAAAATGTCTGCCGACCTTGCATAGCCTAGCTGCTAATCAGAAGTGAAGGCCCTCGGCCGATCACCAGCCCAGCAACGTTCACAACTGTCAGCCGACCTTGCATCTTCCATCAGCCGATATACAAATACAATGTTCAAAACTGTCAGCCGACCTTGCATAGCTTAACTATCTGATATACAAATACAATGTTCAAAACTGTCAGCTGACCTTGCATAGCTTAGCTATCAGCCGATATACAAATACAGGGACTTGACTTCCCGGGGCAGCTTCCTACTGATCGGTGTATGCTAAATCTACGTAGCTGGCCGACCCTTCTTTACCTTGATAGTGGGATCACATCGGCCAATTCATCAACACAGGGTTATTGGCCCTCATCGGCCCATCAGCAGGCACCATCAACTATGGCCTGTTTGTATTGTCGGGCCTCTCAGTGTTGGTGGGTGATTCCTACTAACTGCCCTGATCGTTGAAGTTGTCCCCTGCCGATACCCAGCAGGTGGTGCGCGCTTTTCTCGCCATTCTCAACACGACCCCCAGCTCCAGCCCTTCCGCGCCACCCTGTTCCTCCCTCTCGGCCACTGACAATGCCGCCAGCTCCCATTCTGCCGGCAACGAAGACTTCAAGGACTCCGAGGATGAGGACCAGGGTGATGCTCCCTCCCTTCCGCCGCTCCAATGTGCCAGTTGTGCATTCTCAATGGCAGGGGCTCAGCCACCCGTCGCAGATGCCGGTTCTGCACCGTCTTCCGTCATCGCGTCCACCACCGCAGTTGCGGAAACTCGGGCGCCTACACCAGCTTCCTCTCTTGTCGCAGTGCCTACCGTCGTTGTTCCAATTTCCCCTGCTGCAGCGTCTCTTCCCTCTGCTGCTGCATCCATTACAGCCATGACTGCCCCCATTGTTGCGAATGGCGCCGCTACCACCACCACCACCACCACAGCTTCTGTCAGAGCAGCGGTTGGCCCTGCAGTTCCCCTGTACAGTCAACTTCCACCCAACGTACCGTCGAACGCCGTGTTGCCCCCTCCCCACCTGGTCACCGTCGGCCACGGTTATCACATTCCAGGACCCAATGACAATCCACCTTTCTATGTTGTTACTCGAGGCCGCAACATTGGCATTTTTAGTGGATGGTATGTATTCCGTACTATCTATTTGATCAAGGGCTAATGCACGCGTTTAGGGAAAATGTCTCGCCCCTAGTTACTGGCGTTAGTCACGCCGTCTTTTCGCGTGTTGGAAGCATCGCTGAGGGACACAACCGGATGACGATGGCTCGTACTTCCGCATTTGCAGTGTACCTCGCATAGATTACTGGAGCGCATCCACTTTTTCTTGATCTCATGTCGCTGACCGTCGTAATCTGTACTATCATCTACGCTGAATATATTTGTTGATTTTGACCTCTTGTCTGTGACTTATGCCTGAATAAAACAAGCTCGAAATGAAAAAAATGACTTGTGTTGCACTCTTTTGTTGACCGAGTTCTGATTGTCAAATCCTGTGGTTGCGCATGGTTTGAAACCCTGAATGTTGGGTTCTCACTTAACTTTTTTTATTGTCTAGATGCATCATTAAAAATATAAGAGGGAGTTTGCGAATGCGATGTTGAAAGAGTCCATACGACGGTGTCTAAAAATAGACAGAGGTCTCCGTGCTCGAGAACATAACTAAAATTTACTCTACAGCTCCCAATATCCACCCGTTTCCTTATTCCTTGGAAAGCGTTACTCTTAAGATATGAACACACCCTACAGTGAAAAGTTTTCAAGCTAAACACCAATTTTCAAAAAGTCAAAAGATTGAGCTTTGGGCCGCCTTTCAACTCGCGCGCCAGAGCGACCATCAACGTCAATTGGACTATGGCCTCCATTACCCCAAGCCAAAATTCTCGATTTTGGGCTTGTTAAAATCAGATTTTCAACACCTTACTGAAACCGAAAGCCGTTTCTTTAAAGCTGTTGAATTGCTAACGCCAGAGACAAAAAGTCGTAAGAATCATATTAGCTACAAACTAACTACTTACGCAATCACATACCACTTCTCACCTCTAGCACCAACATGGGTCGCCAACGCCTCTACCACACTCGCGAGGAGAAGGCCGCTGCTCGACGCGCCCACTTGAAAAAGTATTATGAGAAGTACAACTATATTATTATCTACACCTTTTCTCGTTAACATTTCACGGGCGCAGAAACCGTAGCCTTATTTGCGCTCGCGAGCGTAACCGCTACAAGAAAAAGGCTCCGCCCATCAACTTGAA